CTTCTACAAACAAGGACCCTAAGGCTCAGAGAACTGAAGTGACCAGCTTGGAGGTCATACAAAAGGGAGATGGCAAAGTCTGAATTCAAAGCCAGATCAACCTGATTCAAAATCTACATCCTTTGGTATTTTGTCACGAAGTTTCTCCTTAAGGATAGAAAACACTTAGGGTACTGCACGGCACTTTAGGGACTCCAGTTTTAATGAAAATGATAGGAGATGAGAGGAGAGGAGAGGAGACGGTAGAATAGGGCAGTATAGAACAGGGCAGAAAGCATTTTCTGTCACAGAACAAAAATGTGGCTAATAAAGTTATCTGGTGAATTATATCACTTTGTTTCCTCTTTCCCTTCTAAGCTTTAGTTTCATCCATCTAACCCATAGAGGTGCTCTTGTGAACCTCCCTAAAGATGCTTAAAGAATTAACAGAATAGTATTTTGTTATCTGTAGAATCACCAAAGAAATTCTACTGAGAGTTACCACTTGCTGGGCACAGAGACTCACACCTGTAATCCCAGCACTTTGGGAGGCCAAGGCAGGTGGATCACCTGAGGTCAGGAGTTTGAGACCAGCCTGGCCAACGTGGTAAAATGCTGTATCTACTAAAAATACAAAAAAATAGCTGGGTGTGGAGGCAGTTCCTGTAATCCCAGCTACTTAGGAGACTGAGGCAGGAGAATCACTTGAACCCAGGAGGTGGAGGCTGCAGTGAGGTGAGATTGTGCAACTGCACTCCAGGCTGGGCAACAATGAGACTCCAACTCTAAAAAAATAAAAATAAAAATAAAAATTTAAAAAGCCATCACTTAATATTTATTGAGTACCTACTATAAGCCAGGCACTGTACAAGGTATTTTCCCAACCTTGATTCTAAAAGACCTCTAAAATGAACAACATTAGCCCCATTGTAGAAACAAGGCCCAGAGTGGTTAGGGTTCCACAGTCACAGACAAAGGGCCACAGCAGAGATCTGTCCCTGGAGTTAATTCTAAAACCCCTGTTCTTTGTGTTCGCTCTGTCCAGCTACCTCTCAAGAAATCGATGGGGTTTGCTTCAGTTGGGGAGAAGGCGTGACCCGATCATGAGGAGGGAAGCGAATCCTCATCCAGAAGCTGCTTCAGAGCACCATCAGATGAGCATCTGCGATAGCCATACACCAACGCCACTCCATGTGGTCGCCCAAATGGCAGCAGCAGCGTTGCCTGACTGCTGGTTAGAAATCACAATCGTGGACCCCCACCCAGACCCACTGAATCAGCAGCACCTCTGAGTCTGTCGGCAAGTTCTCCATGTGTTCTGATGCCTGCTAAACTCTGGGAACCTCTGCTGAACACAGCCTCGCATTGCAATCAGTGGCAAGGAGCAACACTGGGCAACCACAGATTGAGAAAATTAGACATGGAAAATCACGCATCCTCCTCCAAGGACTCAGAGTTCCTTGTGGAATGGGGAAGTAAATCCATAAAGCTTCACTTCACAATTAAGATTTCCTCCATCCTTGCAGTGGAAAGAAATAGAAGCTGAAGCCAGTAAGTTAGAATATTCACTGGTGAACCTAGCAAATTAGACTCTTCACTGGCAAGCCAGTCCTGCTTTAGAAAACCGTTGGCTGGACACGGTGGCTCATGCCTGTAATTCCAGCACTTTGGGAGCCTGAGGTGGATGGATTACAAGGTCAGGAGTTCAAGACCAGCCTGAGCAACACAGTGAAACAAACCCTGTCTCTACTAAAATACAAAAATTTAGTTGGGCATGGTGGTGCACGTCTGTAATCCCAGCTACTTGGGAGACTGAGGTGGGAGAATCACTTAAATCCAGGAGGCAGAGTTTGCAGTGAGACAAGATTGTGCCACTGCACTCCAGCCTCGGCAATAGAGTGAGACTCTGTCTTAAAAAAAAAAAAAAAAAAAAAAAAGAAAAAAAAGAAAGCTGTGGATCCTGCTGCACCCTCAGCTCATTGTGAGAATTCTATCTCTGGTCAGGTAGTGAATCTTAACCCTCCACAACCTAGGATTTGCTTTTCCTTTGTGGTTCTCACAGGAGATACTGCACATACTCGAAGCAGATACTGAAAACAAAAGTTCTCTTCGCGGTTCCCATGTTGGCAGCCCTTTTGCTTTTGAGTTTGTTGATTGCCTTGGGACTGAAGATACAAAGCATGGATTACAGATGCTTGAAGAACATTTATTAATTCCAAGGGGGGAAGAAGTTGCAAAATGAAGTCGTTCTTTAATCAAATTCTACTACTACTAATGTCTTGCCTTCTTTTTCTTAAATCAACCTAAAATGTATGGTCAAAAAATATCTGACTTCACTTTATTTTGGAAACATTTAACATTGAAAAGCAATGGCCCATAATCTCAGCACGCTAACAGATTTTCATTTTTTCCCCATTCTGTTTCAGGCCCTGTTTTCATAATCATATACAATTTCGCATGGTTGTGATTACACAGAAGCGATATTTAAGTCTTACTTTCTTCCCCAGTTAAAGTTTCAGCCTGAATGAATTCATACGTTATCTTCATGATGATCATTTTCAATTTCTGGACCATGGACACATGTTTTGGCATACCACTTGAGCATGTCACAGTGAGTCAGGAAGTATTTACTGAGCTCCTGCTATGTGCCTGATGCAATTCTAAGCTCCCAAGGATCTAGCATAAATGAGACAAAGTCCTTGCTGTCCAGACTCCAGCAGCCTACAACTCTAGGGAATGCCATTTGCATCCTGTGTAACTCACACTGGGGAGTTACTTCCTTAGGGCAGATTCCTTTCCTTCCTCTAGGGGGCAGGTAACTAGAACTAAAGGCCAGAAGCAGACCAAAGGATGCATGCATCTTCATGACTGTTACTTCCAGAATATTACTACTGATAAAAGAAAAACGTCACCCAAATTCATTTTAAAGGAGTTTAATTGAGCAATGAACAATTCATGAATTGGGCAGCCCTCAGAATCAGAGCAGATTCACAGAGACTCCAGCACAGCCACGTGGTGGAAGAAGATATATAGGTAAAAGAAGGGAAATGACGTACAGAAATCAGCAGTGAAGTACAGAAACAGCTGGATTGGTTACAGGTTGGTGTTTGCCTTGTTCGAACACAGTTTGAACACTTGGAGTCTAAGAGTGGCTGAAGTGTGGCTGCTGGGATTGACCGAGACTGAGTTACTGTTATAGATGCATACTCCTAAGTTAGGTCTTCAATCTTGTCCGACTGTTAAGCTAGGTTACGGTTCATCTACAAGGACTCAAATATAGAAGTATGGAGTCCTTCTCAGGCCACATTTAGTTTGCTGTAATACTACATTGTTCTCCCAAGACATTTTACCAATTTTCACTACCAGCAGAGACAGCAAATGCATCATTTTCAACAGAAACGCATCAGCATTGATTGAGTGCTAACATTTTTTTTCAAATATTTGCCAATTAAGTTAATTTACAACAGTCCCCGGAGACAAGCTGTGGATTTAAATATGCTCCCCGGCAGTCTTATTCTTCATTCAGAGGTTTCTTTCAGTATATGAGATGATACTGCTGTGGACTGAATGAGTATGGTATTAGGAGGTAGCAACTCTGGGAGGTAATTAGGTCATAAGAGTGGAGCTCTCACAAACGGGATTAGTGCAAACACAAAAGAGTTTGCTTCCCCTCTCTCTCTCTCTCTCTCTAACCAGAAAGTGGCCCTCGCCAGACACTAGACCTGCCAGTGCCTTGATCTTGGACTTCCCAGCCAGCCTCCAGAACTATGAGAAATATTTGCTGTTGAGCCGCCTAGTCTACGGTATTCCATTATAGAAGTCCAAACTAAGACAGACACTCTCAGATGATGAATGTAAAACCATCTTTGCAAAAGTTAGAGAGAAAACTGTAACAGTAAGCTAACCCAAACCCCATCTAGCCTTTCCCTTTATTATTCCTGGGCTACTGGGCCAGGCTAACTTTAGAAGACATTTAGGCTATTAGACATTTAGACATTTAATCAGTTTTTCACATGCTATGCAAATGGCATACCTGGTCCAACCAATCTTTTCCACCCTAAATCAGACACTACCTCCTCAAGTTCAACTAATAAACCTTGACCAAAACTCAACCACTTTTGTAAAGTTAATGGCAGGCCATTAAGCTGTGAGGAGGAGAGAAGCCTGAATCCTGTTAAGGTGCAGACGTTATTCCAGAGATTACAAGATAGGCAACTTCCCCAATTACTCCTACAAATAACGACACTGTTGTAGACTGGCCTTTTGGGATATCTTTCCAGGTTTTCTGCATGTCTGACACGCATGGCTCCACCAAGACAAGCTCCTGTGGTCCCCACCCAGAAGCTATTTGGCCCGCAAGAGGAGAGTTTTAACCCTCTATGAGTCCATCTCCACCCACAACCAATCAGCAGCAAGCACCTGTTACCTGATCACCCTGACCCCTTCCCCCAAACCACCTTTGAAAAACCACTACCTATGAATGATTTCAGCACGAACTCCATCTCCCATGTGGCATGGCTAGTCTTGTGTCTCTTAAACTCTTTCTCCACTACAATGCCATGGTCTTTCTTTATGTCATGGGCAGGAGAACCCCTCAGGCAGTTACAAATGTCAGAGTTAAAACAGGCACTGATATACTTGAACGGTCTTCCTAGAGCATAAGGCAGGAGAAGAGTCTCCCACTGGGGTTTAAGTTTTCTCTGTGGAATAATCTGGACTCTCGTGTTGGGCATGAAAATGAAGGAGAGAGAGAATAGCACCCCCCAAAAACCCTGACCATCCAGGCAACACCCTGCTCCCCAGGAAGAACTGGCTCCCCTCCCATCACTGGCTCCCTATGCCCTCAGGAGCCCCCACTCCCAGCCCAGACACTTCCTCCTCAGGCAGGTCTTTCCCAACCTCCGTCCAGAAGGCAGGGCTAGAGGCTCCCCACCATCCCTCCTTGCTGGGGCAGACCTTGACTGAGGCCCTTTGCTGTGGGAATAGTGAACTTGCCTTTTCTCCTGGGTTTTCCCTTTCAGGCCAAGAAGGCCCAGGACCTGTGCTCAACTGCCTAGTGTCCCCAGCAGTGACACATTCCTGGCTCAGTACAGGTCCTCGGCCAATGTTTGTATGACCCAGTGCAGCAGAAGAGTTACACAGAGGATAGATACTCTGGAAAAATTGGTAATATAAGTCACCGTCACCAGCCTGATGTGATCCTTGCCAATCTAATCCTTCAGAAATCCCCAATGAACTCCAGATTCCTGGTGATACAAGAGCTAGAAAGAAAATATTTAGGAAGATCATGAGGGTAAAAGAGTCCTCAGCAGAATTTCCCTTTTAACAAAAAGCAGTCCCCAAATCATTTCTTTTCTAACAAAGAGCAGCCTGAATAATTGAGCTGCAGACATAGATAAGCAAGCTGGAAGCTTGCACAAGTGAATTCCGGCAGCTGTGACAAAAGAAAAGAGCTACATGGGGGCAGGTATGTTCAACACGGAGGCTCCGTCTTCTCTTCTTTGTCACCACGTGTACAGTAACGAAACAGGCAACATGGCACCAGCCAGGCAGAGAACCATTTGCAAAACAAAAGATTAGGGGGAGGGCAGCCAGAAACTCGCACCATATGCAAAATGGCACAGCTGGTCCAACCAATCGTTTGCACCCTATGTAAATCAGACACCGCCTCCTCAAGCTCATCTACAAAACCTCCTGCATTTCACCGTGAAAGCAGCAACCCACTTCTCCAGGACCCCTCTCTGACACAGAGAGTGCTTCTCTTTCTTTCGCCCATTAAACTGCTCTGAACCTCACTCTTATGTGTCCACATCCTAAGATTTTTGTGGCTGTGACACAATGAATCTCGTTGTCACCCACAAACAATAACACCGCTTCACTGGATTCCCTTCCTTCAGAAGCTCAGCAACATTAGCAGGTCTTAGGTGTTTTCCCATTTAATCCCAATCACTCTTTTCCTTTTATTTTCAGATGTCCTTAACTCAGACTCTGCTGCTGTTCACTGACGTTTTTCAAGTTCTCACATTATTGTGTTCCATTTTCTAACCCTACCCTAATCCTACATTTCAGAATAGAAAAATGTATTTTACAATTCTTGGGCTTCAAAATGAAAGAAATAAAAATAGTCTCATCTTTCATGAGCATTTTACACAGTACTACCTTATTCTCAATCCTCAAAAACAGCCCTGAACAGCGGGTTATTATTATCTCACTATATGGGCAGGAACCAGGTTACCTGCCTGAGTCACGCAGCCAGTAAATGGCAGGTAGGATTTAAATCCTGGCAGGCCCTGCCCCAAGTCATGGGCTCTTTCCTCCATATTCTTGCTGTAGTCGATATCAAATACCCGACAACTCTCCTTTAGCTTGGTCACTGGCTTCCATGACGATACCAGTAACTTTCAGGCATGCTGTCCTGCTCTTAGCAAATGGAAGTAAATGCTAATGCTGTCTCAGTGTCACAGGGCTATAAAAAGGAGAATCATGGGCTCCAAAGCCAATTGGAAGTTCTGGAGCCTTTGATGTGTCGTTGTGTTGCTCATCAGAACAGCCTTTTGCAAGGTATAACATCTACTTTGAGAAAGCCCCAGCATGGCTCCTAGGCCTAGGTTGCCACAACACCCATAAATTGCAGTGACACTCATGTTTACGCCATCTCTGTCTGCTCTTCACAAATGGAATTCACACAATTCAGGTGAGCTGGAGAATCAGGCTTATGCGCATGCCATCTGGATTTGAAAGTGGAAAAATGTCCATGCTAGAAAGATGCTGGAAACAGTCAGCTCAGTCCTCTTGTTTTACCCATAAAGGAACTAAAGTTCAAGATCCTAGCCCCACTTTGGACCTCAGACTCCTCATCTGAGGGAAGGTTTAACTCACTCCTCCATTGAGTTTCATTCTAATCTAATCATCCAAGAGACTAGAGGCCCCACTGGGACTCAAATCCAGCTCTCTGGCCTGGAAGTGCACTGATCTCTGGCCTGGAAGGGAACATGGCAGAAACAATAAGCAAAAATGAATCCAAGCATACTTCTGCTAAGACAGCAAAAACAAGGAGCCATGGCCCATTTGGGGGCTACAGATGACTGTCCTTTGTTGCACAAAATACAATTGATCAAGACTGGTTTCATTTTCCTTCCCACAAATAATCCAAACCTTTGGACTAAGACACACGCTGTTAGCCAAGGGTGTTGAATATACACAGAACAAAGTGAATGCCAAGATTTAGGGACTCAGCTCACAGGGAGCTGGTACCCCACATAGAGAGCAGCAAGAAACAAAAAGGTGCCAACTCTTCACTGACCGGCTACACTGTCTTCATCTTAATGACAGTGATTTCAATAGAAAAGGAATGCAGGAGCAGGCCATTTATCACTCTTAAATAATAAGTTAAAGTTGCAGAAACTGAATTGGGCAGACCGGCTTTTAATACAGAGGGGGGAAAATATCAATTATGGAACTCGCACGCCTCCTAGTGGCACACATGGATTACTGCCGTGGAGGATTCCTCTCCCACTTGGAGCCATCGGCCCTACCCCAAGGTTCACGGACATGATCAGTCCACATCAAATGACAGCCTCCTATTGACCAGGCTCAGGGCTATGGGCCGTTGCATACTTAGTATCATTAATGCTCACTTTAGGTGACTCTCACTAGACCCATTTTATAGACAATGAAAGAAAAGCTCAAAAAGCTTCAATCACTTGCCCAGAGTTACCAAGCTGGAAAGGATTCCAACCAAGATTCGTGGAATTCCCAGTTCAGGACTCCTTCCCCAACATCACACTGAGTACCAAGTCTTGAGGATACAGAAATGAATAAGATCCAGAACCTGTTGGGCTGTTTGATCTTACCGTGTTCACATATTTTAACTGGGCAGGCAGACTCACTAAATAACCAGAATGCAAAGTCCTAAGTGCTGTTTGCAAAGGGGCAAGAATTGAGTGCAGTTAACGTGCTCTGGAATCCCAGTCCTCCCGAAACCCGGAGCATCCCTGACCCAGCACCCAGGCCCGGGGAAGCAGGGAGTTGGGGTGTAGACACTGCATTATTAGTGGGGCCAACCTGAAGAACTCCCTGCCTCCTGCCTGACACTTATGTAAGAACTGAGGCCCTGGGTTGAATTGCTGGGAAAAAAAAAAAAAACAGACATCGTTAACCAGCCTAAACCTTCAAACGCTCCAAGTCAAGGCAGAGTCAAATGAGAGTTAACAAGCTTTCCAATTTGTCTTTTACAGGGTTTGACTTGTCAGGTCAAGGAAGATAGGGGATCCTATGGGAACTCCACACAGAGAATGTCAGGCTGTTATTTTGGCTTGTTGATACAACTGACAGGTTAAGGAAATGACTGTGGTCAAAGAAGATCTGGGCATCTATTTTTGCAAGGTACCAGGGTGCCATTTTCTGCTTGGCGCTGGCAGCAAACTATCCCACAAGAGAGAAAAACAGTTACAGATTTCTTCATGTGCTAGCCTTTTACATACATAGAATTTATGTGATGGGGATTGTTTTCTTTTGCTGATGTATATAAATACATTTCTATAGAAATAATATACTTTACACACTATTTTGCAAACTGGCTTTTTCCACCTAGACTGTGAATAGTTTCTCAATTACTTAAATATTCCTCTTTTGATAATTGTTTGAAATTCTAATTTACAGATTTAGCTCATTTTGAAATGTACAACTATTTAAAAATAGAAAATGAAGCTTATATGACCAAATTTTTGTTAAAATCCTTTTATTCCATTTATTTTATTATTCTTGGGGTTTTTTTTTATTATTCTTTAGCTTCTTCTAAGGAAAACAACACTAAAAAATCCTTAAAGCTAAGATGTTGTTACATTTTCATCGTTCACATTTAAATCTGTGTGTGACACAGTTTTTCAAACATTTCATCAGTAGCTCATCTTTTCTTCAAATACTATAGAGTTTAAGGGTGTGGACTTCAGTGTTAGGTCTGGGTTAACAATCCCAATTCAACAACATACTAACTGGCTGGCTTTGGGCTGGGCAGTGAGTGTGCCTAAGCTTCATTCCCTTCTCTGTAATACATAAATCATGACAACCCATGCTTCCCTGGGCTACTGCAAGAAGTAAATAATACAGCAATAACATTGCATTATCTTTTTGCCTGTCCCATGTAAACGTAAATAAATACCTTATTATTTTGTATGGAAAGCCCTTTACATGAGGCAGGGAAAAAGATAACATTCAATAAATGTTATTAGTATTTCTTCCCTATTAACTCAAACTGCAGTTGACCTTGAACGAGAAGGGTTTGAACTGCGGAGTCCACGTATATGCAGATTTTTTTTCAATCAGAGTGTGCGCACCTCACCTCCCTCCCCTTCCACCTCCTCCACCTCTTCTGCTTCTGCCACTCCTGAAATAAAACCAACCCCTTACTTTCCTCTTCAGACTATTCAGTGCTAAGACAACAAGGATGAAAACCTTTATGATGATCCACTTGCTCTTAATGAATAGTAAATATATTTTTTTCTTCCTTATGACTTTTTCCTAGTCAGAGTCTCGCTGTTGCCCAGGCTGGAGTACAGTGGTGTGATCTCAGCTCACTGCAACCTCCACATCCTGAGTTCAAGCAATTTTACCACCTCAGCCTCTGGAATAGCTGGGATTACAGGCACGCACCACCATACCCAGCTCCTTTTTTTTTTTTTTTTTTTTTTTTTTTTGTATTTTCAGTAGAGACAGAGTTTCACCATGTTGGCCGGGCTAGTCTTAAACTCCTGACCTCAAATGATCTGCCCACCTCAGCCTCCCAAAGTGCTGCACCCTGCCTGTGACTCAATTAAATTTTCTTTTCTCCAGTTTACTGTAAGAATACTTACACATATAACATTCAGAATATGTGCTGATTGTGTATTCTGCCAGTAGGGCTTCCAGTCAGCAGTAAGCTGCCTGCAGTTAAATTTGGGGGGAGTCAAAAGTTGTACATGGATTTTTGACTAAATGGGAGTCAGCACCCCTAAATCCCACGTGTTCAAGGATCAACTAACAACCTCATACCACTCTAGAGCTGTATACATCTGTGTCTTTTTCTGAGGTTTCTCTTTGGCCTCTCTGCTGCTTTGTCTAATTACTCTCATACCAGTAGTCCCTATGAAGAAGGTGTCTTTGAGAAAGTCCACGAGCCTATGAACTTTGGTGGTGACGGAGCTGTTCAGGGAAGAATTCTAAGCAGAGGTTGCAGCCAGTGCAAAGACCCTGAGGGAAGAGCATGACAAGTGTATTTAAGGAATAATAAGGAGGCCGGGCACAGTGGCTCACGCCTGTAATCCCAGCACTTTGGGAGGCCGAGGCCAGCAGACCACGAGGTCAGGAGTTCAAGACCATCCTGGCCAACGAGGTGAGGCCCCATCTCTACTAAAAATACAAAAATTAGCTGGGTGTGGTGGCGGGCACCTGCAGTCCCAGCTACTCAGGAGGCTGAGGTAGGAGAATCACTTGAGGCAGAGGTTACAGTGAGCCGTGATTGTGCCACTGCACTCCAGCCTAGTGACAAGAGTGAGACTCCATCTTAAAAAAAAATAATAATAGAGAAGAACAACAAGGAAGCCATCTTATTGGGAAAACTGTGATTTTTGTATGGCACTTTAAGCATAATACTCAATACCCATACCAGTACCAAGATCTTGGCCACTTACAAAGACATTCTTAAACCTCAAACAAGTCAATAGCCTTGGTTTTGGGGCAGGGCTATTGTGGAAGACAGTTTTTCCCACTGACTGGCAGTGGGGATGCTTTGGGGATGATTCAAGTGCATTGTATTTATTCAAGTGCATTGTATTTATTCAAGTGCATTGTATTTATTCAAGTGCATTGCACCCACACTTTGATTAAACTTGTGACCCCAAACCAAAGATTCCTCTCTCACCCCTCTAACCCAGTATTTCTCAATGTGGATGCACGGATACTTGGGGCAGGACACTGCTTCACTGTGCAGACTGGCTCCTGTGCTGTAGAACAATTAGAATCCCCGGCCCCTGCCTGCTAATTGATGTCGATATCCCCCATCACTGTGACAATCAAAGCAACCTGAAAGTTACTCCAAATATCTCCAGGCTGAGAACACTACGTGACATCACCAGGGACCAGTATTCTAGACAACTTCTGGTATCAGGGTTTTGTGTGCTTTTGCATGAAAAGGCATACTATTCTGCAGATTGAATGAGGAGCCCTGTGCATTATATAGCAGCCACGTTGGCAGGAAAATCGGAATTTTTTTTTTAATGAAGTTTAGAGATGTGAAGAAATGTGTGCAATGTAACACAGGTGAAAAATGAAGGGATCAGAATAAAAGCCTAGGTCTTCTAGTTCCTTCTACACATACATGATAATTTAACTATCAGCAATTCTAAGTTCACCCAGCTCACTTCAGTCTCAGTACAAGCTTTTCACGTAAAGAAGGGTATAATAGGGGGAAATGAGCTAATCCTATATAATTTAACATTAATAATAGTAACAGCTTTAATGAAAGCTAACAGGTATTATGAGTGTTCAAAGCGCCAGGTATTGTTCTAAAGATCTAGCCAGTATTT